AGTTAACTGAGCTGTATTTATTTTTTATATTGAATTTATTAATAACTTACCAGCAGAATTCCAGTCATGAGTAAATATTTACATCGAATTAATTAATTCATGGATTTCGAAAAAAGACAATTTTTACGTGATTGAAGAGAAATGTTGTTCTGAGCCGTGCTGCATCTATTCATTGATCCAGTAGGTTGGATTTTCCTCTCAGTCTCTAACTGAGAAGTTTCATTTTCATTTTTTGCAGAATTTGGTGGAAACGGCTTATTTTGGGCAAACTGTAAACATAGAATAAAATGACTTTTAGGGAATTTCCCACATTTTAGTCCAGATTTGAACCAAAAATCTCCCCTGATTAGTTCAAGGACAGCCCATTTTCATCATTAAAAACGGATCTGCTCGTATCCAAATTACCTGTAATTACAAATAATCCCTTAATGTCTTCAGATCTCTGAAACCTATAATTCACTGTTTGTAGAGTTTGCTTGGAAGGTTTTGTTTCCTCCTTTTAACAGAAAACTTTAATTTAAATGGGAACTTTAAAATCTTAATTAACCCATTTAACCCCAAACTTTCTCAGATTAAAGCAGAGTTTTGGCTCTCGTCCTTTATGGTTTCCATTATTTTATTTCAAGTTGAGCTCAGAATCTAAACAGCAAAACACGTAATCGTCCAAATACTTCTGGTCAGAACTGCATTTGATAAACTTCCCTTTGATTCTACCTCCAAAAGCAACTATCTCAGAATATTGTAATAAAGGACGGGCGGTAAGATGACAAAAAAGTTAATTGTAAGTGGAAAAAATCTGGAAAAATGAACTCAAACTGTTGTAAAAGTGAGTTTTAGCTGCTTGAGTTCATACGAGTTCCTGAAGAGGAAGAACTTTTCTCTGAGCAGCTTTTTATAAACCAGGACGTCTTCTTTGAATTCTTCGTAACTGAAACCAGTTGTTCCGGAACTACGAGCTGCGTTTCCTTCTTCCTTCAGAACGAAGCAGAACAACAACGAAGAAATAAAACAGCAGCTTTTACAGAAACAAACTGTAAGAAACTGTGTTTTTTTCCCCATTAACTTCATGTTAAAGCCTTCAGCCCCTGGTGGTCGTTAGAGGAACTGCAGCTCAACACACCAGCTAGCCCGCTACAAGCTAGCAGCTAACTGTGCAACTATTTAAGCAGTAAATGTTAAATATGATTTAAACATAGATGTTGGGTTTATATATATATATATTTGTGCTAATTCAAAGACATTTTTACATAATTGAGTTATTAATGTTAAAAAAAAATTAACATTTTTGCATATTAATTTAGTTAAGTGAGTTAATTTATAAGTAATTTAATGTGGTTTTACATTAAATGATGATACATTTACATCAACATGGACTTGAATTAAAATCAATTTTAGCTGTTACACGTATTATTCAAAAATCTACCTTTAGAAGTTTCCGGTGCGTCGTTATCGCCACTGTAGCGTCGATGCAGCGAACATTTACTCAAATACGACATAATGTTGATTTGCAGTCTTTATAACAAAGTTGTAGAAAGTATGAAAGGCTGGTCCAGCCATCCATTGTCTTCCACTTATCCGGGGTCGGGTCGCGGGGCAGCAGGCTGGTGAAACTCTGAAATTACAAAAACTAACTAAAATGTTTGCACATCTGAAAGAATTTTAAGATTTATTAATGGCGATAATTACAGAACTACATTAAAAGCTGCATTCTGAGGCGTGATGGATGCTGTGTTTTTTATTGGTGCGGTCTTTTAATTTGAACCAAACCCACTCAGATGGTTTAATTGTGCTGAAGGTTTTATTTTGAAGCAGTTTTACCGACTGTTCAACCTGGAATAACCTGAAACATGAGCTAAAGCTGGAGTTACTTTCATCTTCTGGTGTTGAATTTTATCGTATTTTAGTTGCTTCTGTTCTGGTTTGAGTCGGTTTATTCGTATTTAAATGTTAAATGCTCCAATTGTTTTTGTATTTTGCTAACTTTGCTTTTTAATATTGTGCTTCTACTGTTTCTCAAGAGGCTTGTTTGTGCATCTTCAACTTTTTTACTAAATAAAGACTCCTGGTTTAAATGACGGCAGTAAGAACACCCTCAGACAGCCACGCTTTGGTTCACATTTTATTTAAGTGCAGTTTATTGAGTAGAGTTTCTTATTTCAGAGACGATGAGGCAGAACAAACACGATCAGACCCGCCGAGGTCGACACGAACGTCACATCCTGAAACCAACGATTTCCAGACGAAGCTCAGTTTTGTTTTCTTGTCGAGCAAAAACAAAACAACAAAAAAAGCAAAATGTTCCCGAGAACAAAAGTTGTTTTTGTGGAAATAAACCTGCAGGAAGAATCAGAGATGCTTGAAATGATCTGTTTCTATCTCAGAAGTGAATGAATGGAATTCCTCAAGCAGAGGAAACTTTTTATTCTGATTTGTCGTCACAGATTTGACATAAAATGGAACCCGGTGACATTTTTTAAAGGCTGACGTGACTCATTTATGCAAACATACACTGGAAACCCCCCCAAAAAAAGAAGAATTTCAGGAGATCAGAGCTCTTATTCGGCATTATTGAACATTCAGAACCTGGACTTGCCGCCTCTGTACACTGGCAGGACACATCTGAATACATCAGCCGTCTGCAGAGAAGTGATTTTAGCCACAGGACGAATGAGGAGGAAGCTGTGATGGTGGAGGCAGCGGGTGGATTTCCAGCTCTGCCTGCGGCGACAAACGATGGAGTTCACTGGGACGCTGTCGGCGCTTTCGGAAACAAAGGGAATAAAAACCGCTAAAAGGGACGAAACGACGAGTTGTGTGGTTCGGTTCTGTGGTCCGGTGGGCGCCGACAGGAGGGTCCGGCTCAGGGCCGGCAGCGCTGGATGAAGCGGGGGTAAAGGCAGACGTCCCTGATGTGGTGTCGGTTCAGCAGCCAGGTGAGGAAGCGCTCGAGGCCGAGGCCGTAGCCGCCGTGAGGACACGTGCCGTACTTCCTCTGAAACACAAACGCAGCCGCACGTCAGGCATCTTTCTACATTTCACCGCCGGCTTTACTCCGGCAGCTTCTCTGTACGTTATCAGTCCAACAGTGATTGGTTTGGGGTTTTAAAGTTCAACTGACTTCCTCACGATTTACTAAATGACTCATCTGTGAACTACGACTAACTGGACTCGCTTGAGTTCCTTGAAGACGTTCCACCTTCATCCAGGAGGCTTCATCAGCTCTGACTTACCAGTTGGGAGTTCCACATACTGATATCCTGAAGGAGCCGTTAACACCTGAGTTTAGGTTTCAATTGGGGTTTTGTTGCTCCTCCCCCTCGTTATGTGAGTCCTTCGTGCTCCCCCTGACGCAATGGGGTTCTGTCCAATTCAAGTATCTGGAAGCCTCTTGGATGAGAGGTGGAACGTCTTCAGGTCCGGTTGCTACGATTAATCTACCAGAATAACCAAAACCTGGAGGGACTGAGAATCTTCACCCAACCTAAAGTCTCTCTCTGGTCATTGATTAAACCTCATAAACCTCACTTCTGTTGATTAAAACTACACATTTAGAAGGTTTTCATCCATGAAAACTATATAATTTATGCCTTTAAGCGGCCCAGAGTTAACTCTACACCTTTGATTCCTCTTATATAACCTCTTTCTGTAAAACTACACGACGCTTCACAACTACGAGTTGTAATATTAGAGTAGTTTGGACATAAACGCTTTAAACGGAAACCAACTCTAAAAAAAAAAAGTTAACAGATTTTATTCCTTTGGTTTGTTACATATGAACCCCTAAAAGTCTGAATCTGTCTTTTCTGAGACAGTAGAAAGGCTCAGCTGTGGTGCTGACTGATTATTTTGCTCATAATGTGTCTTTTAAAACATAAAAAAACACCATGTGAGCACAACAAGGCCGTAAACTGGATTTCCATTCCATTGGTGGAACACTCTTAGATGTTAAGTCTCACTGGGTTAAGGTCTAATGAAAACAGGGGTTCGTTACCTGGTCGGTGTACCAGTAGTACGGAGTCGGGTCGATTCCCTCCCTCTTGTACCCGTCCAGCAGCTCCTCGGCGTCCCAGGTACGCATCGATCCTCCCACGATCTCGCCGACGTTTGGCATCAGTACGTCGACCTGCAGCACCCAAAATCTTTACTTTCACATCGAAAACGGGCTTTTACTTCTAAAGTTCCCCCGTTTCATAAAGATAACGGATCATATGTTTGTACAACGGCTCAGCGTTTGTCCAAAAGTCACCATAATCCACATTTCTACAGGCTGTTTTCTTCTATAGTTAGTTAGACAATGAACTTCCTGCAGATATTTCACACTAAGCATCTTCCAGGCTTCTAATTTAAACACTGTTATGTTAATAAATGTAAAATATCCCTCAAAAAAGGGACAAAAAGGTAATTACACGCCTCAGTGTCAAGTATTATTAACTCCAGCTCGCTCTGAATCAATAATCATGATCACAGGATTGATAGACAACATGGCTGCCCTCTCTCTCCCTCTCTGTATATACATATATATTTAAATTCTTTGTGTATTTTTGCAGGGACGGCGCATAATTTAAAGTTATCGCGTCACAGTTAGCTAGCAGCTAATTTGCATCTGTTGTCTGTGGGAAGGTCCAAAAGCAACAGCAGAACAATAAATACACAAAACTAAACAACTAAAAACCTCATGTGTCCGGTCTAAACGCTGTAAATCCTTCTGAGTTTCTACTGTAGACGTTTTGTGTCCAGTCTGATCTCTGAGCTTCGTACCGACTCGGTGAGGCGTCTGTCGTCGGCGCAGCGCTGCATGTAGAAGGACTTGATCTCAGCCGGGAAGCGGCAGAGCAGGATGGTCTCGTTGATGGTGTCGGTCATCAGCCTCTCCGGAGCCTCGGGGATGTCCTACAGGAGAGAAAACTCACAATTAAATGATCGAATCCATCAACAAGAGGAAGGATTTCACTTGTAAAGAGCTGAAACGTAAATCCGAGTTGATGAAGACAGCTTTGAGGAAACGTTTCTTCAACGTCGTCGACGTCCACAAAACTCAACTATTGTGACTGTTCAGCAACATCTTGAAGGCAGATGAGAGCAGGATGGAGGCGTCGTTGGTCCTAAATACAGCAGCACCCTCTACTGGTGCGTCTGAGAAACTGCAGCTCCGCTTTGGAAAATAACTGAACAATTAAACTCTCAGATACTTGACTTCCTGCTACACGATTAAAAAGGATGATTCCACCAATTGTACAAGCAGAAACAGCTGAAGATTGCCAAGCGATGTTATCTGATATCTCGTCCAATGGACGAAACTTATTGAACAGAAAACCTGCATAACAAACTAGAGATATATGAGTTTACAAAAACAGATACTACGATAAAAACATATGATCCAGGTGGACAATGAGTAAAGAATCTAAAGGTTTTGGAACTTAAGGGACTCAAAGTCTGGATATCTTGGACTAAAGTTGACTGTTCTTCTTGTTTTCCTTCTAAACTTGTGTCTAAATCCACTTTTGATATTTGAAAAACACATTTCATCTGTTGCATGTTATTATATCTAATAATGCATTTCGGTTGGCTGTCGTCAGCTCCTCTGATCTGGTTTGTAAACTAGCTGTAAAAGATTATCTATTGGCAGAAAACCTGCCCTGCAAAAATTATTAAAATGTCAACGTTCAGGTTTAAAATGACGTGTTTTAGACGCTGAGTCGTCACCTCTCCGAACTCGTAGTAGGAGCCGTCGTCCTTCTTGACGTCGTGCTCTTTGAGCCACTCGATGGCTTCGATGTAGGTCATCCTCTTGAACGGCCTCTTGGGGGGTTTGAAGTTCTGGAAAAAACAGCAGCAGCAGCAGCAAAGAAAACGTCAACAATGCTATCACGATGTCGTCTCCAGGAAGAGGTATATTTCACAGAGCAACCGTTCAGCGAAGCGGGCCGTGAATGAATTACCGGGTTGATGTCGTAGAGCAGCTGGGCGGCCGGAGACTTGAGCACTCGGTCCACGACGTCGCAGACCAGGTCCTCCAGCCGGTTCAGCAGATCCTCGAATGTCATGAAGGGACACTCGGCCTCGATGTGGGTGTACCTGAGCACGGGGAGGAAACGCGTGAATTTACTGCAGATTTTAAACAACCTAAAGAAGAACAGCCAACGAGACGGAACAACTGGTCCACGACAGTAACTGTGGTTGTTGCAAAAGCCAAAACCCTCCGTCAGAAATAAACTTCCCAGCTTTAGCAGGCTAAAAGATGTTTGCTGGTCTTGTCGAGTGCTTTAGAAACCTATAAAACACAGAAGCTTCACGGTGATTTTAGCATGATGAGGTTCTAATGCAGGTTTTGTGTCACTTCCTCGTCTTTACGGTGTGCACGCTAAAGATACAAGACAAAGTTGTACAAACTGCCACCATTTTGAATCAGGTAATCACACAATTTTGTCTGGTTTGTCCTGTTTTTATTAGTTAATCTAATTAATTAGAGGCTTTGTAGTTAATTAATCACATTTTCAGTTCACGTTTTTCAACCCAAATAAATGTTGGTTGACGACTGAATCAATGAATAAACGTGAACAACTAAAATGTTTATCTTTCATTGATATTTATCTGCATGTTTCATCTGTCTGCTACATTCACAGATTAGTTCAAACTCAAAGTGTGATTATATTCAACATTTGAAGACTTTTTGTCTTAAAACTCTTTGTTGCATAACCACGTTCTCATCCAAGCTGCCTCGTGCTACGTGTCCACAGGATTAAATGTTATTTTATTCTTTTAACGCATTGTTTTTGTCTGTAGTTAATTACTTGTAATTAATGCGTCCAAGCCCTAATTGTCGCATCCAGGAGACTCACTTTAGTGTTTGTGATCCTTCCTAAACCTGAACTAATCTGAGTCGGTCTTGACGCCGTTCTCCGGTGCTCAGCTTCTACGCCGACCGATTGTGTTTACGTTGTTAGCGTACTAGCTAGCCGGACTCACTCGGACAGGTGTCTGCGGGTGCGGGACTGCTCGGCCCGGTACGACTGGGCGATGCAGAAGGTGTCTCCCAGCGCAGGTATGCAGGTCTCCAGGTAGAGCTGGGACGACTGGGTCAGGTACGCCTGCTCGCCGAAGTAGTTGAGGTTGAAGAGCGTGGAGCCGCCCTCCACCTGGGTCTGAACCAGGGTCGGAGGGGTGATCTACAACCAGGGAAGCAAACGGTGGTTATGGAGCCTTTAAACCTGGTCCGTGAGGTGTTGACGAGGAAACTAGGACCTCGACAGCCGACGACCGTACGGCCTCACCTCGTAGTATCCGTGGCTGAAGAAGTGGTCCCTGAAGCACTGCGTGACGGTGGATCGGACCCTCAGGATCTTGGAGACGTTCTCTCCTCGGATCAGCATGTGTCGGTTGTTCAGCTGCACGTCCACGTCAGACTCCTCGTTCAGCAGGTTGTCGGCGCCACCCGCTGGAGCCAAACCGATCAGCTCCCAGAAGTCGCAGTGCAGCTCGTGGCCGCCGGGCGCCTGACGAAGGACGGACAAGAACAACCCGATGAACACCTGGTTCAGGCATCTGTACCACCGTTTATAGAGTCAGTCCACCTCAAGTCAACACATTTTAAAGAAAGCTAACGCCTGACCATCTTATATTTGGCAGATTTTTTGTTTTCTCTGCATGTTATCGAGCAAAATCTGTGGTGATGTTGATTTTTGAGCCGTTTTCTTTGCGCCAATCTGTGGATCGATGTTTGAAGAGCCGTAACTTGGAGTTATTAGGATCAAATATGTTATATTCATGTTCTGATAATCTCTTATTATTATCTCAATCTTTTATTGTTATCTTAAGGCATAATCAACACAATTGATCAACAACTGCAGCGTGAGAAAACGTAGGCAGAAACAGGATTTGGTGGTTTGTGTAAATCTTTCTCTGTCACAAGCAGGAATCTGCAGGAGGGAGGAACTGAAGGTGCTCAACAGTTGGGTGCTGAGTGGCAAGTTTCTGCATCTACGAGATGGTGGAAGAAGGCCCAAGGACACGGAGGAGCCAATCAGCTGGCTGCAACACATTCTGCGCTCATCCTCATGTAACAGTATCAGAACACTGGATCAGGGAGTCAGACTTGGTGCCTTGACATTAACTTTGTTGGTGCTATGGTGAGAAGTTTGATCCAGAGCTCTGTATTCAACTATCTGATCAATAAATACATTGAGTGAGACCTAAATATCTTCTCCTATTGCATCATTAAACGAATGAGCAGGAGCTATCTCACACACAGTTTGATTTCTGGTGGATTGAGATCCAGCTCCAACAGAGTCCTGACACTTTGGAGGCTCGTTGATACGCTCCTGAACAAAATCTCAAGACCGGGGGGGAAAAATTACAAATATTTGTGCTGGTGGATCGTGACCAGGTTGTAAGTCGAGCTTACAGGATGTTTATCTCTGTCGTTTTCAGTCGTCTTTACAGAAACAGATCCGAGTCTGCCTCTTCAGCGAAGGTTCAAACTTCCACTTAGAGCTGCGACTCGTATTTATGTTCATTATTGATTCATTTTGAGTGTCTAAGAACATATTTGTAAAAATGCCAGAGTTCCCAGAGTTCAGCTAGTGTATAGTGAAAACATGGCGTCACTGTAGGATAATTGAATGAAGAAATCTGACCAACAGCTTGACATTTCCAGGCTTCCTTTGTGAATGAAACACTACGACTATCAAAACAGGGATTGTCTTCATGAGGCTCTGCGGGCGTCTTCTACGCACCACGTGACCCTCCTTCCTCACAAAGTGGACCGATCATGCAGGTCAGCAGGTTGTTATAACGATGGGCTATGAAGAACATAAACATTTATGGCGGGATAAAGTGCAAGAGATGTAGGTTAATAAATATATATATATATTTTACCGCTCTTATTTCTAACATTAGACCTGTCCAGGGTGTCCCTTGTCTTCACCCTGAGTCAGCTGGGATAGGCTCCAGCCCCCCACGACCCTTGTGAGGATTAAGCGGTGTTTAGACAATGGATGGTGGATTTCTAACATTAGAGGTGTCAACATTCCAACTTCATTTGAACGTGACACTCAGAGGAGGACGTTTGGGTTCAACACAGACTCGTAACGAAGGAGACGTGGAAATTAGTTTAGTAAAATTAATGTTATTGATTGAAAATTCTACGGGTCTTCTATCAGCTGCACTACCAGCAGTGTCAAAGGGACTGGACAGCAAATCAAGACCAAACATTTATGCTTTTTTAATTTTTTTGCACCACTAATGTACAACTCGACACGTTCCCTCAGCCGACGATCATCAGGAGAAGAACGGGTCAAAGGGAGAAGCTTCTTAAATCCTTAGCTGCCTGCACCGGCGTGATCAATCCGGTTAAAAAAAATCAACTTGAGGCTCAAAAACCTGCAAACCCGCTAACGTTTCCTCGTATTGCAGCCCTCTGGTTTCAAGTGTTTACCTGTTTTCCTTCGGGAACCGGTGTGACCGTCCCGTACAGAGCGACCGTGCTCTCTGTGGACAGCATCAGACCGTTGTAGCACTGGCACTGAACACAAGAGAATAAACCTTAATTAGTCGTAAACGTGAACACTTTACATCAAAACAGGTGTCATTTTTAATGTGGTTCAGTCTTATTCTTTCACAGTTTCATTTCTGAAGCATAAAATGACTTAGCAGCTGTGCAAAATCTTAAAAAAAAAAACAGATTTAACTTGGAATTATTACACAATTACAGCACAGTGAGGCTAACAAAAGATTTTTTTTTTTAATGTAAAAGAGAGAAGTTCTAAAGCCGTACCAGTTGATCCGACAGGACACACTGGAGGAAACCAGTTCCGTCTCTCAGCACAATGAACATCAGGTTCTTTCCTGCAGGACACAAACACATTAAATTAGAGCTTTGACGCTGCGTTCATCGTTTATTACCGTATCTATTCATGCGTTCCTCACCTTGCCTCCTGAGGCGATGAACCCACCCGAACACTTTGACTCTCTGACCTCTCTTTGCCTCCAGTTTATGGATTTTAACCTGACGAACAAAGTTTTCTTCAGATTAGTAACTCGAAAAGGTAAAACTGCATTTAAGCCCAGATAATGAACCAAAGTAGCGCAAGAAAACGTACAGCAGCAGAAGATGTCAAGATGTAAATATCTGGTTAAATTTGTTGGTTGAGACGCTTCCTGATTTGCAGAAAAGCCTTTAAGTTGATTTGCATCGGTGCTGTAGCTTCAGATAACGTTTAAACACGAGCAAAATCTTGTTTTAAAGACGCTCAATGTCGCTCACTGCAAAACATTTTGATTTGTTTGGGGAAGAAATGTTGTTTACGCTTTTTATGTCGATGCAAAACCACAGAAAGCCAGTTACATGACAAATAGAAATACAGAAATATCCTTTAATGTAATAATCCTTTCAGTTTACTACCCAGATATTTGCGTTTTTGGCTTATTAACAAATAAAATAAGCCTTTTTATAATCCCACAGTGGGGCAACTTGCAGTGTTACAGCAGCAAAGACGGCGCAAACATTTAGGAAAAAATAAAAATTACCCACAACACATGATGCATAAAGTTTAATCCTGGACGACAATCATCTACATGTGAGTATAAACGGTCAATAAATGGTTTATAAACGAGACTTAATGAATAAAGCTGGTCACACCTGTGCTAAAGACAAACACCAACCAGTCCATCCCGTGAACAGCTGCTGCCAGACGAACGCCGTATTTGTTTGTCAAGAACAAATGATTACAATATTTAACTGAAATCATCCAACCAGGACAACGACGTTAAGGCTTTTCAAAACAGGACAACGCAGCAAAACAACCGCAGCATCCTGTGCCGACGGTTTACTTTAGTTCTTAGTGGTCATTTGGTATTTAGCGATGCCCAAATTGCTTTTCCAAACCAAAAGGTGTCTTTTGGTGGCTATTGGCAGCATCCACCGAGTACATCAGGTCTGATCTAACCGTAAAAGCGATGTAAACAGTAAAAGCACCGACCGCTTCAGGCTCAGGGAGGCTGGGATCGTTCACGATGACGATCTTCTTGGCTTCTTCCAGGTTCTTCTCTCTCTTCTCGGTGTCCTCGGCCTGGAAAACCAAACACCGAGCCGTTTAGAGACGCCGCAGCGGCTTCTCAAGTCGAGACAAACACCGTGAATCCGCGGCACAAACCTCCTTCTTTTCTTTGGCGTCGCTCTTCATCTGCTCGCGGTTAAAGGCCTTCTTGGCGTTCTTCATCTGGGTCTTGGAAATCACCGCCCAGCGCTGAGGAAGACAATTAATTGTTAATAAAAGCAAGATATACTCATTAGGTCCAAACAACCCCAGTTGGCTATCATTAATTTCCTTTTTTGAGGTCTTGGTAACATCATTAATTTAACAAAATGAAGCAACCTAAAGACCATATGCTGATGATACGCTAACATATATTTATAACGACGTTCTATTAAGTATTAAACAACCCCACACTAAACAGTCAATTAATGGTTAATTAAAGTAAAGTACAAAGCGTCTGTTAACAGAGGATTTCTATCTACGCGTCAGTTTGAGTCACTCATTTGTTCTTTGGGCCTTAAAACAAAGTGAATTTGTGTATTTTCGTCAAACCATCGTAACTGTGAAACCAATTTAAAGGCTTAATATCTCCAGAAATATCATTCTGACAGCCATGAAATGTGGTGAACGCTCAGACAAAAGTCTCTCTGGTAGATCCGAATGATTAAATGGCTCCAGTCTGTTTAATTATTGGCCCTTGAACAATTAAATTCTCACAATTTAGCCATAAATATTTTACAGAACTCAGATTTGTGCCACAAATATCAAACAAGTAAACACATTTCCTTAATTCTGACGCACACTGACAAGACAACAGAGTTTACGGTGCACATATGATGGTTAAAATCAAAATAAAGTTGTTTTTTTTTACCAACCTCTCCCTCCTTCTGTGACTCCACGTAGATAGTCGGGAATGGTTCCTTCCCCGCAAACAACAGAGCCTGAGAGGAATCAACGGGAAGCAGACGGATTACTACCAATAATCCCGATAACGGGGAGATTGAACGTCTGAAGCGAAACGCTCCACCAACCTTAAGGGGAGTCTTGAAGGGTTTCTGCTCGGTTCCGTCTCCATCCTGGTCGCTGCCGCATTTGTCCGAAACGTACATCTCACCTGAGAAACAAAGACCTCGTCATTATTGACCAGAAACCACAAAGCAAGAAACCTTCAACCGACAGCCTGAAGTGTTGTTTTTGTCTTTTCATGAAACTACCCGACAATAAACACACAGACTGTGTTCTAGTTGATTCTATATATGTTGGTGATGTGACCTCCAGGACTGAGAAGGGAGAACCGAAACCCTCCGTCTGGGTTTGCTAGTCGCTCAAAAATGTCACGAGAAGAACGAGGAAGCTGGAAAAACCCGTCAATTAAGCTAAAGAATGTGGATCCCTGAAAATTACACCCAAATTCACCAATCTGTGGTCGAGCTTGTTCTGTTAAATATTACCTTTTTTTCCCAATGAGGAGCATTTAATGAGTAACTGATTTCAAGGAATTTTTAATTCCTGCAGCAGATTTATTTTACCGATCACATCCTGACCAACCAATAACGGAGCTGTGAGATTTTACTGTAAGTACTAGAAGCCTACGTTTGCTGCTTCATGTTGGTCCAACAGCGTCCACTCCTCTACAAAGAATGTCTACAGGAATATTCCACTCATCCAAGAGTTTGGAATTTAGGTTCATCCAAGTCAAGTTTTCTTCCCCACCAACCTGGGAAAACCAGTTCTGTATGGACTTAGCCTTTAAGGACACTTAGTCATACTGAAACAGAAAGCATCGTCCACACTGTTGGAAGCATCCCGCTGCACAAAATCCCCTCTCTTGGGCCTCAAATGCATTTTCATGTTTCAACACATTACGGTGCAGCTGAATCATTATTCTCACGTCTAACCAGTCTGATATCTTTCCCAACGTGCCTGAGGAGTAAATGCAGACGTGTAGATTGATCGGAGGGAGCAGGCAAAATGCAGCGATTCAACAAAGTGAAAAGAAAAGGTGCCGGTGGTTCGACACCCAGATTGTCACTCAAAAATCGCTGCCTGGACAAGAAACTGGATCCAAGATACTCCTCATCATGAAGCACCGTCTGTTTACTGTTTAGTCGAAGCAAAGTGAACAGACAAGAGCTAATGTCAGTCATTTAATGTCTAGTAAACGGTGTCACTGAATTACGAACGCGTCATTTTGTGTGGAGGTCAGTTGCTTGACCACCTCAGAAAGTCTTGTGCAGGAATGATCTTCAACACACATGAAAACAACTTGGAAGGACGTTGACACCTGCCACATCAATAGATAATACTTCCATCTCTGACAAACTAGCATTGCAATTTTTTCTAACCCTGTGATATATATTGAAATATACTTTTTTTTTTTTTAAAAATACAGAAACTTTCAACAGATAAATTGAAGCACTCTAAGTTCTCCTGCCCTCCTGCCATGTGGTGACTGTGAACCTGCACTGATCTCACCTCTGTGTGTGAATGTGGGTTGGCAATAAACAAACCTTTGAGCTTTCTGAGCTCTACAGAGCTTCATCATTAAACTAAGTCACTGACAATGAGTGACAAGCAGCTCATTCACATTTATATTCAACAACTGAAACCTTTTACAGCAAAACTAAGCATCTTTCTTTTTATCAAAAATGATTTAAAATAAAATGTGAGCAGCTCTACATCAGACTCCTCAGTGGTCCACAGCCCCTTGTTCTGGAGATAGTAGAAAATAATAAACAAGCTATAGAACATTTATTTTATATCTGTACAAAGCCTTGTTTATATGGTATTTTTGATTTAGGTCACTTGTTTCTTCGGTTTCATTTAGTGTGTTGTTTATACTTAAATAAAAGCTTGAAACATGCATACAGTTTGTGTTACTGTATGAAATTTACGAGTGTAATTCACTGTGATGCTCGGGGGCGCCAACTACAATCTTGCCTCGGGCACCAAATTGGTCAGAACCGGCCCTGCCACTGTGTATGTCTTTGTGGTGATGATGGTGACTAAAACGAAGCAGATGGTGTTAAAGGTGGAGCCAACAACATTACTGCAATGCAGAAAAGACAGAAGAACACAAACCGGCAGAGCTACGAAAACAGAGAAAAATCTGCATATCATAAATGTTTAGGAATGTTAAGTATAAGTTGGACCATGCAGTTTCCAAAAGTGTTTGTGTTTTCCTTGTTCAGGTTTTCACAGGTCGTCTCTCGCCACTAAAAACAATGGACAGACTCTGGTAGGTCATTGATTTTGCCGTTTTCTCCTCAAGAAAGTGACATCGGCTTAATTTCACCTTGCATCAAATACTTCTCTACACTTACATAACCCCGAAACCGACCCGAACCAGGTGAGCCTTCAAACAACCCAGAGCTGGTTTCTGTTTCTCATGAAGGCAAAGGGCAAAGGGGGGCTGCAAGGTGGCTCGGTGGTTAGCACCGTTGCCTCGCAGCTAGAAGGTCGCCGGTTGGCGTCCCGGTGAGGACACCCGGGATCTTTCTGTGTGGAGTCTCCATGTTCTCCCCGTGCAGCGTGGGTTCTCTCCGGGTTAATTGGTGATTGTAAATTGTCCGTAGGTGTGAATGTGAGTGTGCTTGGTTGTCTGTCTCTAAGTGTAGTCCTGTGATAGACTGGTTACCTGTCCAGGTGAACCTGCCTTCACCCTGAGTCAGCTGGGACAGACTCCAGCCCCCCATGACCCTAGTGAGGATTAAGGTGTAGAGATAATGGATGGATGATGGCTCATTGTAGGTATAAATGCATCCCGTCTTCCTCTGCTTCTTGTCAGACAGTTCTGGAAGTTGCTCTGATCCAAGTACGACTCCAATATCAAACTTTTATTAAATAACTCAACTTAAGTCTTCGTCCGTTTGTTTTCTACAGACTACAGTCTGAGCTACCCTTTGTTCGATTTAGGCATCTACTTTGCCCGGATCAATACGTCGTGTTGTGGCAGTAAAGTCTGGGAAGGTGCAGCTCAGACTACAGCATAGAATCACTGCAGATGTAAAAGTGAAGCGTAAACGAGGCGAGTCCTGATTAGGAGGACAGACACTTTAGACCATCTCTAACAACAGCATCTTTATAATAAAATCACTTCATAACCATCACAAATATAAGCACTGAAACCTCATGTTTGGTGTGGTACACTCGACTTTAGATGCAGTGTACTAAGGACAGTATACAGACCTGCATTTACTCCACACATGTGTCCTTGGGTCTTATGTTGTGACACATTTAGCAACAAAACCAAAACTAAACCAACGTTTCCCCGCATTAGACTGAAACACCGTTGAAGGGTTTGGTCTAATGGCTCTTCTATAAGCTCAATTTACAGTAAGATTAGTTTTAAAAATCGTCTATTTCGTACACTGACACAGATTTTTTTAAACTGACTGACGCAACCAGGTAGCTGCTGCATCGCAAACTGACAGCTGTCACGGCTAAACATGAGCTTCCATTCATTCTGCGGCCGGCACAGTCTATGAGCCGTTCAGTAGATGTGTAAATATGCTCCATATGAGTGGATATCAAACACACAGAATCAGGAATCATCTTCAGCTAGCAGGCTAACGGCTAACATCGCCGCAACTGATGCAATAACCGAGACACACATGTCTTTGGGAGCAGGCTAACCAGCTAGCTAGCTCGCTTGCTAGCTAACAAGCTAGCTTTGACTGAGCTTCATTTTCGTCCTTACCCACTGAGACTTGTTCCACACCTTTTGCTATCTCCGCCGCCATGTCGGTCCTGATACAGCAGCAGTCCGCTGAAGAATTGTTTTATTTTAAAAAATGTAAATAAGCCCCAAAAAGCGCCCGCCTCCGCCGCCGCTGTCTGCTCAGCCGGACACGCAACTTTGCATCAGCCCCGCCGCAGCCTGCTACAAGCTAACGAAGCTGGCTGCGCTCGGCTCCGCCTCTGAAGACAGTACGCCTGCGTGGATTGGCGGGCGCGATGGCGTCACCTGTGTAACGGCAAATCTGATTGGTGGCATTCCTTGTCAGTCAGTTTATGGGTTTGTATTAATAAATGTATTAATTTTCGTTATTTTAAACAATATTTATCAAGCAATCTAGCTACTTTATTCAGCCTGATAGCACCTTGTCGCACACAAATTGCTTTAAAACACGAAGGTAAAAAAAACAAACTGTAGAATTAAAACATGTAAACAATAGAATACAAAACACAGCAGAATTAAAATTAATTAAAAACACAACTGACTGAATGCTTTCAATAAAGTGCGCACACTTTTTTTTCCAGAATAATCAATTGACTGCAAAAGTGGATAAAGACAAGAGATATAAAAAATAAAAACATGTAGGTGATTTATAATATAAAAGGAATTACTTTAAAGCACTAGAATAAAAACTATCTTTAGCTCACTTTCAAAAATGGCTACAGCTTGGTAAATATATGTTTAAGTGAAGCTGGTCTGCAGCATAAAACTATATAATTTTTTGTACATATAGAATAATTTGTTCAATATTTGTGCGTCTTTATCAATATTTCTACTCATAAAAGAATCTGTGCGACTGATTTTAAGAAAGCAGATAGGTGAAAGAGTCACGATTAAGAATGCAAATGAACTAACACGTAAACAATAGATAAGAATGATTGAGGAAAAAGGGGGTTAATTATTTATTTCAGGTTAGTAGAACGTCATTAACATTACAATCCAAACACAGACCATTCAGAGGAACCGTACAGACCAACAAACAAGTCGATGATCAAGCTAAAATGGTTACAGCAGGCTAAAGATTTAAAAAAGAAAGAAAGAAAGAAAAAAGAGAAAAATCAAAGAAGTTCAATTTAATATGTTGTGCGTGTATTTTTTTTTTTTCCTTTGTTGACTGATGAAGATGTGATTTTTGATGCCATTTGTTATTAACATCAACTTTCAAATACAATCCTGACTGGCAGAAAATATCACGTTACTGTGTTTGTGTCATTAAACAGGTTTAAAACAAGAAATACCCCCAAATAACTTGAGTGACTTTTGTCTTCATGCCTTGGAAAGTTTACAGATTTCAACAGAAGCACCCTCAGATAAGCCAAATCCAAGACAGAGTTGCCAGTTGAATGTGTCCTGGACTCTGTGGATTAAAGTCATGGTGTCAGTGATGCTGTAGAAGGACAGAATACTGTGGAGGCCTCTTTTCTGCAGATCCAGATCCAGATAGACTCCAATTCTGGAGGACGGAGGACCTGGGATGTAGGTTCTGTAGTTGTTGCATCTGAATTCATAACCATCACAGAAACACTGTAATGCCCAGGAGATGTTGTTGTTTCCAAATGCACTTTCTGCTCCTGATCTGCTGATACTTTTGGATGAGACAACAATAAAAACCTCTGGTCCCTTCCACTCCACCTCCCAGTAATGACGGCCAGTCATGTTCTCTCTACACAACACCTGAGGCCAGTCAGTGAATCTGTCTGGGTGTGGGAGTTTACGAACAAAACTATTCTTTGCTTTGAATTTACCCTCAAGCTGGATGTATTCATGTGCCGTACTTGGATCCAGTGTGGTTTTACATGAATATTTGAAGAACTCATGTCTGGTCTTTGGATATTCTTTGCGCTTTTCATCACTCAGTTGAGCCATCTGTGAGCTCTCCTCTTCAGCCAGAAAGTCCTGCAGCTCGTCTGTGGTGTCCGACACAGCTGCTGCCACGCCCTCCGTGTGCTTTACAGGACGAGCATCGCTGGCAGCTGACAGCAGTGTGTAGTTGTGTAGAAACTGGATGTGGTCTTCTGTGTGTGAGAGCTGCTCCAGCTCAGAGCTGATCCTCCTCAGCTCGGCGATCTCCTGCTGCAGCACCTTCACGCTGTTTTCTTTTTCTTTGATTCTCTGCTGGATCTTGTCTCGATTTGCTGCGAGCTCCCGTTGCTTGTCCTTCCGTTCTGCTGCAGCTGAAACTGTGTCGTGGCCTTTATGTTCATCCATTAAGCAGAGATAACAGATACACTGCTGATCAGTGCGGCAGAAGATCTTCATCACCTCATTGTGACGAGAGCAGATGTTCTCTTCAAGCTTCCTGGACGGATCGACCAGCTTGTGTTTCTTCAATGCAGCGACGTCATAGTGAGGCTGGAGGTGTTGCTCACAGTAAGAGACCAGACACTGCAGACAGGACTTGACAGCTTTCAGTTTTCTCCCAGTGCAGAAATCACAGGACACATCTCCAGGTCCGGCATAGCAGAGATCAGCTGGAGCAGATTGAAGTCTGGTCTTCTTCACTTCCTCCACTAAATCTGCAAACATGGTGTTTCTCACCAGGTCAGGCCTCGGTCTGAACGTCTGTCTGCACTGAGGACAGCTGTGAGTTTCCTTCTGATCCTCTTCATCCCAGTGGCTTCTAATACAGTTCATGCAGTAGCTGTGTCCACAGGGAATAGTCACCGGATCCTTCAGGAGATCCAAACAGATCGAACAGCTGAGTTTCTCCAGGTCCATTTTGTGAAAAATCCCGAAGCAGTCGTCTGTTTGCCTTCCTCTTCCTGGATGGGCGGAGTCCAGAGTCAATAACCAGCAGCCTGTTCACACACGTCAGTCCTTTCTCTGGAGATCAAGGAAGCAAGTATTTCTCTGAATATGTAACAGTGTGTGTTCTATCTGAGCGTTGAAAGTAAGACACCCAAGTGACTACGTAGCTTTTCATTATTGTATATTGCAATATTGCACCCCGTTGTGCTCATCAGAGTTGTAATTATTAAGAGAGAAATAAAAATTCAGCTGTGAGGAAAATAATTCAGTGGAGTCCTAACTTCTCCGAATCAATACACAGTCGTCTCTCAAGTCAAAGCAAAGTTTTTCTTCAGCAAGGAGCAACATGTCCAGCCCAGAGTCTGAATAAGTGACTGACTAAAAACATGAATTATTGGTTCTTACACACAGACAGTGAAGAGAAAACAGAAAAACAACCTCCGGCAGAAGGGTGAGAACAGGCACAGTTCTCATGGTGTTTTGACTACCCGCTAAGAACAGCCTGTCCTTATCTCACACTCACAAGGTTCAGTAGAGGTGATGGACATTTACCGCATTCTCATAGACTTTTCACAAAGACCATTGGATCATAACATAGAATTATTCTAACAAATGTGTTTGTCTGTTTCCAAATATTTTCTGACTTCTGGCTCCCAATAATGATGCAAATCTTGGGAAACAAATAAAACATAAAAATAAAATCAACATGCTGTGTCAAAATTAACACGATATCTACAAATATTCACAGATTTTGTGTGTAAACGCTTAAAACTGTTTTAGGTGCATCTGTTTGTAAAGTATGAGTAAACAGTGTATTAGTTTTTAAAAAATGTTTATAATTTTTCTGCACAAATTCAAGTTTTCGAAGCTGTTTTACGCTTGTGAGTCATCCGTTAACTACACTTCCTGTCCTGCGCGGCAATGTGACGTTTCACTTCCTGTTTCCGGTCTGTAGTAGGCTGTGTGCTAGCGTCGCAGCGGTTCACGGCTCTTTCTCAGTTATCATTAAATTCTGCCCAGTAGCGCTAAAAACCTCATGTACGGTCAATTAAGTTACCAAACAGGCGGCTCCTAAAGCGCTCGTGTGCGGAACTGCTCCATGGATGTTAATCTAACTCGGTGTTTCGGAGCCGCTAGCCGAGCAGCTAACTAGCTAGACATGGCTTCCGTTGCTGTGCCAAAAAGTGATCCTCTGGCAAAAAGCAATTTTAATCTACACAACCAGTTACCTTCACGCCTCTTCTTATTTATTTAATTTTTATTCTCTCCTCCGGCTCTACATGAACCCGTTCAGCATTGTTTTAACCAGTCGACAGAGCTTTAAAGGACAATTTCAACTAACTGCCATTTCCACCTGCCAAAAAGTGACTGTAGCACCAACACTGTGACTGACATGTTGGCAATGCATGAGAATTATTTGGTTTCATTCATTATTTTCATTGTCAATTAATCTGTTGAATATTTTCCATATCAGTGTATTAATCCTCTGGTTTGTAAGCTCTCAGAAAATGGTGAAAATGTCATGAAAACTCCTCATATGTCTTATTTTGTCCACAATCCAAAGAGAGTCAGTGTACTGCCATAAAGGATTAATTCATTAATCACGCTAATAACACACTAAAAGCTCTCACTGATGCAGGTCTCTCACATATTTTCTTGTCAGAGAGAAAGTACAGAGTGAAATTAAGTTGAATTAAATTCTATCTGTAGGGAAAGTAAGCGGAGCAGGAAGAAAAAGTTTGACAACTACAGTTCTAGTGTAAATATAAATCTAAAATCTGGGCAAATTCAGACAAAAAAAGGAACATAAGACGATCTGCTTCAGTTATTGTGAAATATAAATTGTGTGGGAGGTTTAGGAATGTGGCTGCACCATTTAAGTGTCCTTCAGTCACTGTTTTTGTCTTCTTTTAGTTTTTTTTCTTCCAGTAATTTAACGTTAAAACCTCAAACTGCTCAGATGAAAATAAACATTTAATGAGCTCAGTGTCTCAATTTTACTTCAAGGATCTTTGAAATTCCATAAATACCATTAGGACATGAATTCCAAAAAACTAAAACACTGTCAAAACTGTGACATTAACAGCAAACTTCTGTAAAATACTGATATTTTTTAGCTGATTTGATTCCGAAACTGTGTTGTTTTTTTATGGTCACAGATTATGAACTCGTCATTATTTGTAAAAAAAAAAATACAGTTTTTTCATGCTCACATTATTTACAGTTTTGGCCAATTTATATATATATATATTTTAATTTTTTAGGATTGACATGTAAACAAATATTTTTTTCCTGTGGCTGTAGCAGATATTTTCACAATGGAAGACAAATAATAGTAAGTTGTTCTTAAGACTGTAGTTTAAAACTTCATTCTGTTCATATAAACCACTTCTACATTTCAGGGAATCGAATCCCTAAACTCATCATCTATCCAAACCTTTTTATGTCAATCATAAAATGTAAAATATGTTATTCAGAGGCGTATTATTTTTCTTTCAGCTCTAACTGATATCGTCTCACAAAATTTTCAACTACAAACTGTAAAACATCAACGTGTTTTTTAAGGCATCTCTGCACAACATTTGCTTTCAAATTAGGTGGAAATTATGAAATTGTGTTTGATCTCATCTGACATTTCATAGAGGCAAAGTTAGGACCATAGACTGTAGAAGAAAGGCTTAGTTAGTTTCTTATACAGTCTATGGGTGGAGTCCAGGGTCCATAAACAGCTCACATGCATCAGTATTTTCTCTGGAGATCAAGGAAGCATGCGTTTCTTCGAACTCAGTATCTGACTTATGAATGGTCTGCGCTTATAGAGCGCTTTTCTACTTTTGCGGCACTCAAAGCGCTTTACAATGTTTCTCATTCACCCATTCACATACCAATGCCATGCAAGGCGATTGGGAGCAACTTCGGGTTCAGTGTCTTGCCCAAGGACACTTCGACTGTGGAGGGGCGGGGGATCGAACCGCCAACCTTGCGATTAGAGGACAACCCGCTCTACCACCTGAGCCACAGCCGCCCAAAGTTTCCTTTATTTCAATGCATTTATAGTAACCTTGGTAGACCATTATTCATTTGTTGTGTAGTTTTTGTTAAGTTTCTTCCTGATTCCTGAGTTTATAGTGACTGTGTTTGAAGTTACATTCATTATGTTGGATGATTGTTTCAATCAGGAATTATTACATCAACTTTAATATTCTTTATGATTTTATTCTCTCGTCAGACAGACCAGCTCAAACTGCCTTAAAATAAAAAAGCTTCAGCTGGAAACCTCCTGCATGAGCTCATCTGTCCTAACTGACACATCACAGAGTCAATAAAGTCCTTTTACCAAAGTGTCCCAAGTTCCAGACTGTTCTTCACATCTGAAGTCCTCGCTGCACCATTTCTGTAGTGGTGAAAGTGAAACAAACTACTTAAAACACTCACACAACTGAACTGCATTCTCAGTTAATAGAAGCTTAATTTGTCCTGGTTTACGTTTGTAGCGTGTTAGAAATACGTTTTTTAATCAACATATTCTTGCCGTTCCTTTTTCTTGTTTTCGTCCACCATGCACAGAGCTGTTATTGATCTGATTAATATCACTACATCCTATATTCTGACCTGCTGCTGTTTTCTCACTCATTTTAATTCATGGATTAATTGAGAATTTCTGTGTATTTTTGTCTGCATCAAGTGTGTGTGTGTGTGTGTGTTGTTTGTCATTCTGCTTCCCTATAGCCAAAAAGCATTAAGTTTGTCAGATTTTACTTTGCATGTAAAATAAGTGGATTAATTGACAATGGAAAGTTTACTTTGAGGACCAAAGTCCGCCAGCTGCCAGGACCAACAGGGTCAAAGTTTTTCATCCATCAATGATCATATGAAGGTTTCAACAGTATCATGGAAAAACAATCACATCAAGTAATTATTTTTAAACAGAAACAATGAATTTAAAGGGGTTTATGTTCACCTTGTAAACCCGGCAGATTTAGTACTTTGCAAGAACTGATTCGTCCACTTGGGGGCAGCAAACATCAGACTGTGAAGCTCATATAGTATACAGTGTTAATACAACAGCAGGGGCCTGTATGAAGAAGCAGGATTTAGGGTTAGCGAGGTAACTTCAGGTTAAATCCTGGGTTTTCGGTCCTACGACGGTGGTTCACTTCTTACCGGGTCCATCACCATGGTAACTTATGCTCAACGGCTAACCTGCGCTGCAGCAGGTTATGTTCGAGGTTGAGATCACTGGGTATAAAAACACCTCCACTGAAAACCAGTTCTCTCCCGTAAAGCACTTCTCAACATAATGGCATCACCGGCATTTATAGAAGAGCCGCTACACATCGGAGCTGAACTGTGAGGGATCACTGAGGACTGTGAGGGTTTTTCGGGACCAGCAGAACAGAGCACCCTGACCAGGATCTCTATGAGCTCCTGTCTTTCTTCATTCATTTTCTTCCTGTTGGCTACAGACAATGTCAAAGCTATTTCATATTTTATTTCCATACCAATATCACCCCATAGCAGTAAACTGACTTCAGCATTAAAGCTTGTGTTTGTAGGATACGTTAATGAGCTGCACCGCTTTGAATTATGTGTCTGTTTGTTCTTAATGTGTTCCTACGTCTTTTTTCCACCGCCAGGGCTGCAGCTGACTGTAAAAAATGTCAGATATGCCACAAGTCTATACATTAGGCAGCACATTAGTTAACAGAATCCTCAGATGTGCTTATTGTCTGATACGTGTCTTCATGATGGAACATTGATGATATTTTATTTGATTATAAACTAATGACCTGATGCATTCACACAGTCAGCAGCTTCCCGCCAGCATTCCTTCCTGGCTTTGGTCGCTGCAAGGGGCTGCTTTTTGCTCCTCTTATGTTTTTATATTATTCTTCATATTTTGTACAGATTATATATATATATATTCTGCTCCTTGGCGGTAAAGTGAGCCGCTCTGCAGCCAGACTTGTCCACAGTCGTGATTGGTCCGCCCACATTATGTGCACGCGCTCATGGTCAGATCAGACAACCCTGGGTTGACTTACTGAGTTGAAAACCACTGTCGTAGGACCAGTTATCCTGAGTTATATTATTAAAGTTAGTTAAACCGGATCTCTGAAAGATATCCTGGGTATGTTGATCTCACTTCATAGTGCAGGCCCCTAGTGTTCATCTACAGCTCACTGTCAGCAACGTTTGCCTCGACCACAGACCTCCCTAAAGACAGGACTATGAGAGACGCCTTTACAAATCAATTACAGTTTTCCTCTAGAGTACTGTTCATATCTTTTTTTGAAAATGGCTTTTTAGTTAGTTGTTTACCATTTATTGGACACAAGTTATGGTTGTTGCGACCGGTTTGAGAACCCTGAAGCAGACACGAACCACAGGTAGAACGTCAGGTGTGAAACGCTTTATTATAAAGCAGAAAAATACAATGAAAGCGGTTCAAAATGGTGCATTCGACACTTTCCTGTGGCCATGGTATGGAACTGCTTTTAGTGTGTTTGTGTCATTTATCAGAACTTCCACCAGGGGGCGCTTCATGTTCAAAACTTGTGATGCTGTTTTTATTTTCCATTGTGCTTTTGCTTCACTTCATAATTCTTGTATTTAGTAAATTTCTGTAATTTAGCGATTAACGGGTTAATCTCCTTTTCTTTCACCACACCAGTAAAACAATCACAACACCGATGAAGTGTACTTTTTTATTTATTTATTTAAAAATTAAACACAACACTTTAATTCAGAAATGAGGACTCCACACACATCACATCAGTGGTCATGTGCAAGAAATATATTGTCAGCTTTATTAATTGACCAGTCAGGAGGTTTGGTGATCCCTCTTAATTATACACTGTTGTTGTTTCCCTTTAAAAATCATTTCATATTTATTTGGTATATTAGTTTTGTAACTTAGTTTATCTATTTGATATTTATCATTCATTTTAATCAGTTTGATTATTCTTTTTTGTTTTATTTGGCCTTGGCTCTGACATAGGCTAGAATGTATCATCCATCACTGTCTTTAATTTTCATAATTAACCTCTGACTGCCTGTCAGGTTCCTCCTCAGTCCCTGCATCTGCTCCACCTCACCTCCCTGCCTCCCCCTTCTCCCCTCTGCTCTCATTCACTCTCCTGTGCTGCTCCCTGCAGCCGCTCATCCTGATTATTGTCTTAATCAGCAGTAACTCCAGTCAGCTGTGGTGCAGAACTCTGGTCACTTCCTCTTCAGCCATAAAAGCTGGATCCACTCCACTCCCTGCCAGATCTAGCGTCAGCTTCAGCTACTCTGGTAGTTGAGTGATCAGGCCTCAGCAGTCTCGTGATGGTAGATGAGGCCTCATGAAGCGTTGTGGCACATTACCCAAACTGTACTGATTCTGTGTTGGTACTGTGTCACTGTGTTGCTCAGTCGGGACACCTGCTGGATCTTAAAACTCCTTACAGGCAACCGAGTTGACAGGCTCAACTGACATACTGATTGATTGACCTGGTATATACAATAATATAATGCAAGTTATTGTATTTTATATGGTGTTATTTTATATCTTAATTTAGTTTAAAATGTATTTATCTTTTAAATATACAGTCAATAAATAATGTGAATGTGTGTCATAACGTGAACATCAAAGTGAAAGTGTGGATGTGAGGATGCTGATGTACTTGTCTTTGAGGCAAGGAGGGGTTTTATATATATATACATATATTCAAAAAAATCTATTGTTCCAATGTCTTGGCATTAAGGCAATTACATTTTTTTGATGCAAGTTCTCCAGGAACAGGATTAAACAACAAGGAAATAAAAACAAATACCTTAATAGCTGATATCAGATCAAAATGGTCCCACACGGTGGGAACATTTCTTTTTCTTTTGCTCCATAGTCGCTTGGAATTGCGCTTCAAGAGATCTGTGATTCTTTTGGCAGAGATGCATCCCGTTGACAGATGCGCTTCCTTGTAAACACAGTTTGGCGACTCAGTGACAGGTGGAGCAGCAGCTGTATCAGTAATGTGACTTTCTTCAAGCGATACACGCACCGACACGGGGTTTCGCTCCATGAGTTCCACATGCGCTGACGCATTGGTGTTTCCGGACCCATCACTATTCAGCACATTACTGCTCTCCTGTGTGAACCTTAACTAACCTGTGTTCTCCTGTCCTGCAGTCCTGCTGGCCGCACTGCCCTGGTTCTGCTTTGGTCCTGCTATCCCTGGTCCCGGTTCTGCTTTGGTCCTGCTCGCCGTGGTCCTGGCTCCTGTCCAGCCTTGGATTCCCCAGAACCCCGTCCTGAAGGGCATCAGCTCCCACCTGGCCCACTCTTCGGACCACCACTGCCGCTCTCCGCCGCCCACCCTCTCCATCGGTGTGCGCTTCTCAGACTGCTGGTCCCCAGGAGCCTGTCCACCCCCCGCCCAGCCGCTAGTGAGTTTTCAGGTCATTTTGTCCCTGGTCCTCCACCTCAGTTATTCTGGGCTCTCTGTTAATTTGTGTTTGTTTAAATAAGTCTTGGTAAAGCCATGCCATGCCAGAGTTTTAGTTTATTTTGCACCTTGTTGTTAATATTACTGTGTGCTTTACAATTGGCTACGTGATTTAACTATGCAACCATCAGCTATACAGCTTCCAGGAGAAGTCTGTTACTTTCCTTTATTATGCATATCCTCTATTTCTTATGGTTTAAAAATTCTCTGCAAAAATGAAAAAAGTTGAATTAAGACTCAATAGTGCCTATTCCCCCTCATCTCTCCTGGTTAAATGCTTAAAACGGGGTGTGTATGAGTGTTTTCTGATTTCGTCCTCGTATGCTGAGGGCCGCTGCTGTCTATGAAGGGGGTCCCCAGATAGAGGGTTTCCCAAAACTAGTGTGTATAAGTACGCACGTCTTCCTGTAAAACGGGGTCCTAGTGTGTCAGTATGCGACTGTGTGACTGAATGATTTAAATCATGTTTTATATGCTCAATACTTTATATTATCACACTCTGATGTGTCAGTGGCTAGAAACAACACTGATACTGATGCATTATTTCTCTGAACAGGACAAAATTACAGAATCTCACGTCTTAATTTTTAGACCATGTAAACAACTACTGTTTCAAACTTAATGGGGAATGCTTCATCAGCATAATATGAGGATCAAAACTAGCAGTTTTAATTGTTTTAAATATTGACATTGTTTTTTCTGTACGCAGTGTATTTTAGATGGGAGCAGGGACAGACCTTTACCACATTTTATTCCATATGCATTAACACAGCCAAAATGATAAAAAGGAAATCTATGAAAAACCCCCATGATTAAATGAAGGTTAAGATTTAAAGTATGGACGTCTCACGAACTCTAAACCTTAGAACCTCACAAAATGTCTTTATTTTGTTTTAACTACAAAGTGAAACAAGTCAGCAATATATTTAAAACCATTTTGTGAATTTACGAAAGGTAATAAAATAATGAATTATCACAGTTGATCAATACTTCACAGAGTGATGCAGTAAGTTTAGTTTTATTATTCACTGCATTCCCTTAATAAGCTCATTGATTAATCTCGTTTTTTTAATAAACATCAATCACAGAAAAAGCAGAAATTGAACAGCATATTTATCATTTTTCTCAATTTGCACAGTGGATTGGCAAAACCATTTGAAATAGCACAGCAGGACTGCTGCCCAGCTGTGTTTTTGAACTTTTCTCTATACAGAACACACAGTGATGAAACTGATATCCTTCTTATCTGAGTTATAAATCTCAAACGATTCCTTTAATCTCTCAAACAGCTTAAATGAATTAACATCAGGCAATCATATGTATAAACACATAAAATATGCAAATAAGTATGTACATAGAACCAGATCTTGACACATACGACACCTTAACTGCAGGTTCATGCAGCATCAACAGATCACACTTGTACTTCAAACATTGCACAGACTGGTACACGGAGGCTGGAAGCAGTTTGTTATTAGGATGTTCAGTCTGAATCAAGTTAACCCACACGGCAGTCTATGAGTGATTGTTTTTCTGTGAGCTCTGGAAATACTGTTTCATAATCTGGAATTTTCTTGAAGAGCTCCATGACCTGTTTACGGTCCTTGGAGAAGTTTTTGAATACATGGCAGCGATAGCCACATTCTTTCACAATGGACCTGAGGTGAGACCGTTCATCAATGAAACTCTGAACATTGTCTTTCACATCCTCTCCATGTGTCAGCAGGACGATTGTGTTCTCCCTGATTCTGCAACCAAGCTTCTTCTCCAGCCTCTCTAATATTCCCTTCTCACCGTCTGTAAACCGGCCCATCTGTATCACCAGTAACACCACATAGTGCCCTGGCTGACAGTACTTCTTACACTCCTCTACTTGTGCCTGATTGTTTATTTCATCATTCAAGAAATCTGGGGTGTCGACAACTCTAACTGGCCTGCCAAAAAGACTTGGCATCATTTCGAACTGACACTTGGTGGTGACTGGTGTGGAGCTCGGCTGGGATTCAAAAAGCTGCTTTGGTTTCAGATGGGGGTCCATAGCAGTCAGGATGGTGTTTCCAGATGCACTCTTTCCAGTCCCAGTTAGTCCCAGCAGAACAATGTTGAAGGCATCTCCTGACATTAAACCGTTGCTCTCACCTGAAAGAAGCAGTTGGTCATAATTTCCAGTTATTTCATCAACAGTTACCAACAGTTTCTCTTTGTGGCATCAGCTTTGAAAGGAATCATGAAACTCTGAGATATTTTATTTTACCTCTGAATTTCTTAATTAGTAATGGGATATTGCAAAAGAAAAATAATCAGAGTTTCTACCATTTTAAAATTGGTTATATGTGTTGTGTTTTATCTCCTAAAACATATCAGTGGTTTGTTCTGGTTCTGTTTCTGTATGTGCATTGATGGTACTTTGCAAGTTTGCTGGACCTGAGGAGAAGTGTAACATGCACATATTTTACAACAAAAACACACATTTGTGCACTAGAGAGGACAAACACTGACGTATGCAGAACTTTGAAAGTTATAGAGAGAATGTATTTTTCAGCGGCAATGTCTGGCAGTCTGAGTTAAGCCTAAATATGTGTTGTAGTGGTATAGTAATAGTGATGTGCTACAAAACAAGCACAAAATGGAAGTTTTAGGTGTTACTCACATGATGAAGCAGCGTGGGGACCTGTAGGATTGAAATGTAAATGACACAGGTATTAGCAAATATAACTATAACATGAGTTATTGTTCACAAAACAATAACAATGACCCAATATTTGTGACATTTTATGTCACAGTTATCCAAAAATGTCCAGTTAACTTCTACTAAAGTATTTACAATTACTGTGACTTGGATGACTGTGAACCTACACAGACATGTCTGCTCTCCACTATCTTAACTTCAGACTTTTAAGTCAGTCAATTAAAAATCCTTTCAATTGTAGCAGAAAAGCTTATACCTCTGACTTAACATAGTTTGTTGGTTAAACTCATAACTGTCATGCTGATGACTGTTGTGTTAAATTTGTTTGTTGGATTATGTGGATTAGATTAGTGCCGAAGTGTCATTTTTGTAATTATTATTATTATTATTATNGTAATTATTATTATTATTATTATTATTATTAATTATTATTATTATTATTATTATTATTATCATCACAAAATACAATTGCTAATGATAGCATTAAAAACATTGCTTAATGTCCCAACATATGTGTAAAGCATAGACTCACCTGATCTCTCATGACTATATGGAGGAGGGTCTGCGTCTCTGAAACAATAGTCATAATGTAGATTACTACAAACTTATACCTAACAAAATATCACATATGCATCTGTTGACAGTGTAAATCCTGCCCTCTTTTGGAGCTAGCTTGTGTTTTCATTGGGTTTTTACAGCAAAAGGAAATTTCTGGAAAGATAAATCATGATACTGCTTTATTTTGCAGTCAACCAAACTGGTATCTATTGCTGTATTGATTACTGACTGTATTGTTATTAGGACAAAATTACACCTGAAATGTTCATCCTCTCATAAGACAGACAATTGCAATATGCAATGATGAAGACAAACCTATTACTGGATATAACTCATTTACCTATGGTGGGTTTCTGTGGAGTTGTGTCAGGAAAGGATGCAGTTCTTCTAGTATTTCTGACACAACTTATGAGTCGATGGTCACTGATACCCAGAGGAACAACAACAATGGCAGACTAATCGAGGGGTTTGTTATAATGTGATCTATTATTGTAGAAAAGAGCAAATGTCTTTGAGTTCATCAGATCTGTTAGGTCCCCATATTATATCGTTCAGAAGATGCATAAGTTGACCACAAGCACTCCTCCAAAACCTCAGTGATTCAGAGTGAACAGGTATTTTCTCCAACACGTACTCCCAGAGCAACATGGGCAAATTTCTGAAGAGGCTTCATTTGTTGATATTAATACACCACATCCTGTTCTTTTGCTTACATTAGAAAATACTCAGAGCAACACAAGCTTCATAACATGGGACTTACTGTCCACATCAATTACACATAATAAATGTTGATGTCTTTACCTTGTTCTTTTTAAATCTTCTGTCCTGCTTGTCACTTCTTTGTTACTGTAGTCTTTGTTGTCATACCGGAATAGTGAAAGGCTTGAACACCACTTCATACAGTCGTGGAATAGATGTTCACAGAGGGTTGCCAGCTTGATGTTGAACGTTTCCTTCAGCTCATCGAGTGACGTGTTGCTCATATACTTATCAAACATGACAACTAAGTGTTTTGTGATCGTTTGTCCAAAGATATCTTGAAGTTTAGTAATTTGAGAACCAATTTTATCCACCTGAACATTTTCTGAATCTATTGCCAGTATGAACAGATGAAGGCCATGAGGAGAAAGTATTTTGAAGTCAATCACCTGCTGGTCTAGACACGGACAGTCCTCATCAAGGAAATCACGAGTATTGATGATTCTGAATGAGTGGCTCTCTAGAACAACAAAGTCATTTTGTCTTGTGGGTGGACGACTGCCATTTCTGAGGATGAGTTCTTGAATGTTCTTGTTAAACTTAGGGTTCTTCCCAAGCAGAGCGATGGTGAACTTCTCAGGATCTTCTGTTGAAACAATAATTTTATATAACTCTTAGTATTCTAGAAAATGTGGTTGCAATTTCACCTGCCACTGATCACCTTTTGTTTTTTAATTCTAATGCACAGGTCTCAGTCTAGTTTATAGATAGATAACCATGAACACATGTCCACTCTGGATCCTCTGCCTTGTCTGCTTGAGGAAAACAGTCAGAGAAACAATATTTTACAATCTTTTATGACAAAACTGAACTGTTTGTGGATTATTTCTAGATATTTCAGTGCAGTCTGTATGTCTGTATGTTCCCAACAAGGAGTTAAGGTTTTTATTAATAGATTCTGTGACAAGTGGTTCTTGTGAAAACCAAAAAAAATTAGTTTCCTGAATGTATAATAAGGAAAAAACATAATATTAATATTACATAATAATTAGAACTTAGAAAGCAGAGGAGAAGCTCATTTCTTCATTGAATAGGTAAAGTCATAATAAAAGAATATAAAGTTTTTTTTTTTACCTGTTTTAGCTCAATGAAGTGACTTTGGGTTAAGCAGTTAATTGATTTAACATTATGGAGAATTTATACAAATTTACCAAGATTAGGTGTTGAGTTAATCAAGAACACAGAGTAATGAACACATTAATGGAGTTCCATGTCACAATATTACTGAACTAAACACTTAGAATACTTTATAACATGAAAAACTTGATCACACTCAAAAAGAATCTGCACAAAAATACAGTTTCCTCCTAAATGTTAATTTTATGGTTGAACATCAAAATTAATGTTGTGACTAATCTGTTTCTGACTAACTTCTCCTGGAGTCCTGAACCCAAGGCTAAGAAAGTCCCAACACAAGATTTCAAGAAGAATTTTAATCTGTGATTTTTCAGTATTAAACACAGTCTGTCATCTTTCTAGAATGTTTAGTGCTGTAGTAGATCATAGATGTAGCAGGCCTTGGTAAGGAGGAAAAAACTCAGTAAATCAGAGTCACTCACGTGAAGGTTTGGTAGAACTCATCTCGTCAGCTGCCTAAAGACCAACAAACAGTGTGCAGGTGTCACAAGAGTCTCTGAATCAGCTTTGATCAGACGGACTCTGAAATACTAGAGATTGGACCCACCCTGTGGGTGGAGCGCTGAAAACTGCTTCATGCCACAACAGTGGAGAGCTGTGCTTCTGTTCATTCTCCAAAAATCAAGAGCAGAGATGGGAAACACATCCTCAATCCCCAGTGGTGAGGCAGGATCTTTTATGTAGACTCTCTCTGTTCTCTTTATACTGCAGTCAGCATTCAGTAACTATCACACCTGACTTTATGATTGATTTTATTTCCATCCAAGAACTTCATCAGGTCTAAACAGAGTTTGTGTCTTTCTGCAGGTCGTCCTCTGAAGATTGTGATGATTGGGAAAACTGGTGTTGGGAAGAGTGCTGTTGGTAACACCATCTTGGGCAAAAATCAAGACATTTTTGAGTCTAATGTGAGTGCAGAATCGGTGACGGAGACCTGTGAGATAGAAAGAGTTGAATGTTCCAGAAAGATCCATGTGGTCGACACTCCTGGAATTCTGGATACGTCTAAAAGTGCAGAACACTTAAAGAAAGAGATCGCAAAATGCATCCAGATGTCCTCTCCAGGCCCTCACGTCTTCCTGCTGGTCCTTCAGATCGGCAGGTTCACCAAAGAAGAAGAAAACTGTGTGCAGGCCCTGGAGAAGATGTTCGGACCGAAGTCATCGAACTACATGATCGTCTTGTTCACTCATGGTGACAAGCTGAGTCAGCAGGGCAAAACCATACATGACTATCTGCAAACTAGCCATGTGAAGCTCAGAGAGCTGCTGAACAGGTGTGGCAACAGGTATCATGTCTTCAACAACAAGAACAAGAACAGAACTCAAGTGGTGGATCTGATCCAGAAGATTGATGACATGGTGGCAGCAAACGGAGGATCGCACTACAGCGACGAAATGTTTGAAGAGGCCCAGAAGATTCTGCAGCAGAGTGAAGACAAAGACACAGCAGACCCACTGTATCACAGCTTATCCTTCATGGCTGAGCTGCAGGAGAGAGTACTCCTGTTTCAAAACACACTGGCTGCTGTCTGATTGGATGAAGATGACCAGGACCCATTATTCTTCATTTAACTTCATGATGTGGCCTCAATCTGATGTAATTTCTTTAGTACAGTCACAGTGGGTATAGACACAAATATCTTTATGAATTGTCAATCAACCAAATATGTAGTATGATAGTTATTAAATCATTATTGTCGTATATAGTCTATACACATGATAATTTTGATATTCCATCCATCCATCATCTGTACACCACTTAATCCTCACTAGGGTCATGGGGGGCTGGAGNCAAACAGAAACAGTTTCAGCTCATTACCAGGTACAACGTCTGCATGAACAGTGAGGGAAGGCTGCACAGATGCTGCCTCAGAATGTGAGCATTGAGTAAAGGACAGTTACTTGTGTTCAGCCACCAGCGCAGCTCTGATGTTCAAGTTAAAGATGAAATGATTTGTGGGGTGAATTTTATTAATTAATTAATTTATTTACAGTCATAGAAAAAGTGAAATCTTTAATTTCTTGTTCATTTTAATGCCCGGTACCACTAAAGGTACATTTGTTTGAACAAATATAATAACTTCAAAAACAGCTCATGAGAGTTTCATTTAAGTTCCAAAATCACTTAAGTTCTTACATCAATAGCTATGCCATTGTTCTGCCAAAAACAGTGCTTTAAGGCATTCCATGTTTTCTTTTCTGTCTGTTTTAGTCACATGATACACAGGACTTAGTACCTGATTGCATAACCATTGTTTCTGCTGACTGCAGCCATGCATCTTGGCTGCTCTCCACCAGCTTCTGACATTGTTCTGCTGCCACAGCAGCCCATTCCTGTTGCACAAATTCAGCAAATTTGCTTTGTCTTTGGGCTTATGGTTCTCCATTTTACGTTTGATGATTTTCCACAGGCTTTAGATTGGATGTAGATCTGGTGATTGAGCAGGCCAAGGTATGGTTCCAATGTTCTGGTTCTCCATCCAGGCTTTAACTGACCTTGCTGTGTGACATGGGGCATTGTCTTGTTGGGAAATCCAGTCATTGGAGGCAGGAAAGAGTTTTCCAGCTGATGGAAGAAGACTGTTTTCGAGAGTAGCCTGTACATGACCTGCTTCATTTGCCCTGTTCCACCCAAACTGAAACCAGCCCAGATGGTCACTGATCCACCCCCATGTTTTACTGTAGGGGCAGGACAGTCTGGTCTGGAGGCTTCTCCAGGCTTCCTCCTAACCAGGAAGTTGGCTGGAGTGGGCATCAACTGAAAACTGGATTCATCACTGGAGAGAACCTCAGCCCAACCATCAACAGTCCAATCCCTGTTATCCCAGCAAACAATAACCAGGCTTTCCTCTGCCTTTGGTTGATGAAGAGCTTCTTCCTTGCCCTGTGTGACTTCAGCTCAGCTTCAAGAAGTCGGTTTCCAACTGTTCTTGCTGAACAAGTTACATTTCTCAACATTGCCCACTCATTTTAAGGTCCCTGGAGGTCTGACGACGATTCCTGACACAGAACTGATGAGTGCACGGTCATGTTGTGGATAGAAAGACGTTTCCTGCTGTGACTAGCTAGCAGTGTGGTAGCACCATGTTTTTTCTTGGTGTAATGAACAGCTGTCTTGGAGATCTTNAAGAAAAATGACTTTCTTCATCAGTTCCCAGACCGCCCCGTAACAGTTTTCTTCATACAGGACATGAAAAGGGTTCTGCTACTCTTCAGTCAGTTTGCAGATGTGTCGCGACTTCTTCAATTGGCACATAGCCAGTGGAAGAATCTTAAGAACTCCAACAATGTTTTTGGTGAAGAGCTCTGCGAGCATTCCCTAGTCTTCTGGCCTGGACGATCTCCACGAGTGACCTCCAATCTCCGGCGTTCTCCATCTAGAGTGATTTCTGACTAAAGTCTCTCTTCACCTTTAGCACATACACATGATTTTCCCAATAAATTGACTCATTCTGAGTTCAGCACCAGATCACCGACAGTAACTCCTTATCTGGTAACAACAGGAAAGCATCTGTTGGTAAAAAGAGGCACTGTGAGCTTGCTCGGGTCATGACCTGTGTTGAGGACCATAACCTCTCTTGACATGTTCACCACTTCGCTCATCTTTAACTATTGTCAAGTGGAGTCAAGGTTTTGAGATCCCATACGCAGCCACTAACGAAGAACTTTGGCTCTGCAGTAAGCAATATAAAAGACTTTATGATTTAAAATACTATGTGCTGTGCTACAAATATGATGATTGTGTGATTAAATTGAAGTAATGATTCTTAAATAAGTATTGTATAATCAGTAGTGGTAAGGTTAAGCTGATGATTCTAAACATTATAATGGATCTAAACTGTTTTAGGTGGTAGAAATGTGTGTGTAGTGATGAATGTGTGTATCTAGTGTGTATCACTGGTGTGTAGTGATGAGTGTGCATTAGTACTAATCAGACAATGTTTATGGGGGAGAGAGCTGTAGAAATACTATAAAAGCCACAGACAGAGAGATGCTTGTCGGAGAACGCCCTGGAGATCGCTCTGGACAGACTTGGATGTCGTTCTGACCAGGAGATTGAGGGATGCTTGAGGGACTCTTAGAGTTCTTAGAACATTCTTCAGTTGACTGTGTGTGCATTGAAGGAGTTGCAACAGGACTGTAGTGCAACAGAAGAGGAGCGACAGAACCCTTTTCTGTGTTCTGCCAGAAGAACAGGCCTCACTTCATTACCCAATGGAATACCAAAACAGACTGCAGTTCTAATCAGAGTTGCGACTCCTCGTCTCCCCCTGACCGGAGGACTTTGTCTGTGCAACGGTGCCCCGTACCGGGTTGCTGCTCTGCTGGTAGGAGGTCTCTCTTAGTTCAGGACAAGACGGAGCTGAGTTGATCAGGTCTGGCCAGGCTGTTAGGCTCTCTCTCTCTCCAAATTAAGTGTTTTGTTATTAATTTTAGTTTTAGATGAGCACAGATTATATTACTGTTTTCAAAATAATCGGGTTTAATTAAAATGTGAGTAATTATGAATGAACAATCAAGTGCTGTTGCTTTGCCCATGTTCAAAGAGTTGCAATAAATATATAATCCTGCATTTAAAGACAATATGGACTGATATCTTATTGAGTCATTTCAAGTATCTGATGGTAATAAAAAGTTAGACAATTGTGTGCACATAATCTTTTAATGGTTCTTAAAGGTTATTCTAAGTCAAAGTAAAATAGAATATTTAAACATATCCGCAGTCATATCAATCTACCAAGTGCTCGTTCCATTAAGGGGAAAGCTGCCACTAACAGGCGTATCTGGTGGATGACACAACTACTGAAGCTACTTAGTTGGGTTGCCTATTAGAAGAAGCGTGGTAGACGTCTGGATTCAGGCAGTTAGAAGCTGGGCGAGTTTCCTCGACACCAGCTTAAGCACTTCCATAGAATCCTATTAGGTCAAGGGCCTGTAGGCAGTTAGAACTTAACCCTAGTAACGGAGAGCTGGACCAGTAGCCCTGTACTGGGTAATACCGGTGTGGAATAACACTATGCAGCTTTAATTCAATGGTTACAAGAAATCACCTTTAACTTATTGCAATTTTAAAAATAAGCATTTCAAATTTAAACACTCATTTACCAGATTACAGCACTTCTTATTAGAGAGTCTTTCACATTGCTTAAGTTGGGCCAGTGTTCTTTATTAGTGGCTGCTTCTGGGACCTCAATCCTTGGTCTCACTTGACAATATGAATTATGAGCGAGTATAAAACAAAGAATGTTCATGTGTACCAACATGAGCAGTAAATACGAGGTGCTCTAGCTGGACAGTCTGTCTGACTGATATCTTAACAGCATCGTCTCCAGGCTGTTCACAGACGTCCTTCAAACTCCTTCATGTCAATTGTACACTGATGGTCACTCCATGTTCACAGGATGAACCTGCTCTGACTTGAAAATACAATCTGTCAGCAACAAACAGAAACAGTTTCAGCTCATTACCAGGTACAACGTNCTCAATCCCCGATGGTGAGGCAGGATCTTTTATGTAGACTCTCTGTTCTCTTTATACTGCAGTCAGCATTCAGTAACTATCACACCTGACTTTATGATTGATTTTATTTCCATCCAAGAACTTCATCAGGTCTAAACAGAGTGTGTGTCTTTCTGCAGGTCCTCCTCTGAAGATTGTGATGATTGGGAAAACTGGTGTTGGGAAGAGTGCCGTTGGTAACACCATCTTGGGTAAAAAAAAAAAAAAATTTAAGTCTAATGCGAGTCCAGAGTCGGTGACGGAGACCTGTGAGATAGAAAGAGTTAAATGTTCCAGAAAGATCCATGTGGTCGACACTCCTGGAATTCTGGATACGTCTACAAGTGCAGAACACATAAAGAAAGAGATCGCAAAATGCATCCACATGTCCTCTCCAGGCCCTCACGTCTTCCTGCTGGTCCTTCAAATCGGCAGGTTCACCAAAGAAGAAGAAAACTGTGTTCAGGCCTTGGAGAAGATGTTCGGACCGAAGGCATCGAACTACATGATCGTCTTGTTCACTCATGGTGACAAGCTGAGTCAGCAGGGCACAACCATACGTGAATATCTGCGAACCGGCCATGTGAAGCTCACAGAGCTGCTGAACAGGTGTGGCAACAGGTATCACGTCTTCAACAACAAGAAGAAAAGCAGAACTCAAGTGGTCAAGCTGATCCAGAAGATTGATGACATGGTGGCAGCAAACGGAGGATCGCACTACAGCGATGAAATGTTTGAAGAGGCCCAGAAGATTCTGCAGCAGAGTGAAGACAAAGACACAGCAGATCCACTGTTTCAGAACCCAGCCTTCATGGCTGAGCTGCAGGAGAGAGCAGTCCTGTTTCAATCCACACTGGCTGATGTCTCAATGGATGAAGATGAAAGAACCCATGATCTTTCATGACCTTCATGACTCCATGATGTGGCCACAGTGGGTTTAGACACAAACCTCATTGTCATTTGTCAATCAATAAGATGTATATTACAATAATTATTAAATAATTTATGTTGTATATAGTCTATACACACAATCATTTTGATATTTTGGGGGATAAAGAGTTAAAGCATTAAAGACTCTGTTGTTGTAATGAACTCTCATACTGCCTCTTAGTGGACCAACAAAAGTATTGCTTTGGTTTTTTTTTTTTTTTAACTTTTGGTGTCAATGCTTAATAACACATTAAATTATCATAGCATGAAGAACAGAGTGTGTGTGGATGTCACCCTGAATCTTGCTTTTCAACCCTATTTTTACAGTCAAACAATCAAAATCATCAGAACGTGTTGTGTTTTGGAGTCTGTATGTGTCAGAAATGTTCTTTTTTTCTTCTTTAATAAAGCTGAGGCATGTTTGGTGACTTAAGGTCTGAGGCTTGTCTTTTGTTTCACACAGGCCATGTAATAATCATGCTCACAATTTATTACACTTTAATACGATTTTAAAGTGTTTTGGTTTTGTGTGTTTGTGCTGCAAACATGGAGGTGTTTTCATTTTTACACCATCTAGACATACATCTTTTGCTGACCAGTTAAAGTGTATAGGATGAGATGAAGCACTGATCAGCTGTGAACGTGATGTGATTCTGGTCTCTGTAATAATACACATTCTTGTTCAGTTGTACATTTTAATACTTTGCAATCATAATACTTCCCCTGCAATCAGTAAAAAAAATAATTTTCTAAACATCTTTTATCAAAAATTACATCAACTAAGGCAATACCCAAACTCTGAACCTTTACATAAACTTCATATTTATTATTTTTACCTTCATAAACTGAAATATCCTGCATGGACGCCTGTTATTTACATGCAATTCTGTAGGGGATAAAAAAAATCTAAAGGACTTTTCTGGGGTTTGGCTGGTCGACTCTGAGCTGTTGTGTTGAAATTGGATCCGTTTCTCTTCATGGTGTTGATGAGTAAACGACTGCCAGTGTTGTTCCAGACATATGTTGCTACATGAAACTGAAATCAGCTGTTATTTAGTTTGGACAAGTAGATCAAATAATCTCTGACCGTGGGTGAGTTGAAATATGTAAACAAACAAAAATAAATAAAAATAAACAATGAGCTGTTGTGTAACTATTTCTTCATTGGAGATGTAGATGAGTGGGTCTGGAGCAGTGCAGCTTGTTCCTGAGTGGAAAAACTCTGAAAGTAGAGTTAAGTTTAGGCTCCATGAGGTCAGACTGTGGTTGTACCAGAAAGTCTTTCATCTANGAACCCGGAGAGAACCCACGAGAACATGGAGACTCCACGCAGAAAGATCCTCACCGGGATGTGTACCAATGACGTTCTTGCTGTGCTAACCGCTGTGCCATCTTGCAGCCCAATTTTGATATTTTGCGAGATAAAAAGTTGAAGCATTAAAGATTCTATTGTTGTAATGAGCTCTCATACTGCCTCTCTGAGGACCAGCGGAAGTAAATTTTTATTTTATTCTTTTTACTTTTGGTGTCAATGCTTAATAGCAGATTAAATTATCATAGCATGAAGAACAGGGTGTGGGTGGATGTCAACCTGAATCTTGATTTTCAAGCTTGTTTTTAAAGTCAAACAACCAAAATTGTAAGAAACTGTTGTTTTTTGGAGTCTGTACGTGTCCGAAATGTTCTTTTTTCTCCTTTAATAAAGCTGAGACATGTTTGGTGACTTAAGGTCTGAGGCTTGTCTTTTGTTTCACACAGGTCATGTAATAATCATGCACACAATTTATTACACTTTAATACGATTTAAAAGTGTTTTGGTTTTGTGTGTTTGTGCTGCAAACATGGAGGTGTTTTCATTTTTACACCATCTAGACAGACATCTTTTACTGACCAGTTAAAGTGTATAGGATGAGATGAAGCATTGATCAGCTATGAATGTGATGTGATTCTGGTCTCTGTAATTATCCACATTCTTGTTTAGTTGTGAATTTTATTACTTTACAATCATAATACTTCCCCTGCAATTAGTAAAACCATTTAATTTTGTAAAAATCTTTAATCAAACTTTACATCAACTAAGGCAATACCCACATTCTGAGCCTTTACATAAACTTCATATTTATCATTTTCACCTTCATAAACTGGAAAAATCATGAAAAATCCTGCATGGACGCCTGTTATTTACATACAATTCTGTAAGGGATAAAAAAAATCTAAAGGTCTAGGTCGACTATGAGCTGTTGTGTTGAAATTGGATCAGTTTCTCTTCATGGTGTTGATGAGTAAACACACAAAATGACTGCCAGTGTTGTTCCAGACTTATGTTGCTACATGAAACTGAAATCAGATGTTATTTAGTTTGGACAAGTAGATCAAATAATCTCTGACCGTGGGTGAGTTGACATATGTAAACAAATAAAAATAAATAAAAATAAACAATGAGCTGTTGTTGTGTAACTATTTCTTCATTGGAGATGTAGATGAGTGGGTCTGGAGCAGTGCAGCTTGTTCCTGAGTGGAAAAACTCTGAAAGTAGAGTTAAGTTTAGGGCTCAGGAGGTCAGACTGTGGTTGTACCAGAAAGTCTTTCATCTGATAATTCAGTGAAGGTGACCAGACGATTGTTTGTTGTTTGATGATGACAATCTGCAGAGAAACATTTATTATCTTGATCATTTTCAGGAGAGCAGGAAACTATTCCAGCTGTTGCTATTTTAATCTGACAGGAATGTGAACACACCTCAGAGCTACTGACATTTCTTCAGATAAGAATTTATTTCCTGCTTGACTAGTCAGTACAAACACAGACTGACTCTGCCAGTAGCACATGAGAGTATATGATATTGTTGATCTGCACCGGTAAATCCCTGTTACAGGGCCACTGGTACAGCTCTCCGGTTCTAGGGTTGGGTTCTACCTGCCTCAAGGCTCTAACTGCCTTAATCCAACCACGCTTCTTCTGATGGTTGACCCGACAGAGTAGCCTCTGCAGTCGAATCATTCTACCAGACACGCTTGTTGATGGCAGCTTTCCTCTTACATGGATTGAACACTTAATATTTGCTTGGTTAAAATTTAGAAGTTTGGGACAACTAACCCCAGGGATGTGTTTTAAAATATTATACTCATGACTTAGAATAGCCATTAAGAACCACTATAAAGATCTCATCCACACAGTTGTCTAACTTTTTACTCCCATCTGGTGTGATGAATGATCCGGTTAACCTTTACCTTGCAGGATTTAATATTTATTGCTAACTGTTTGCAGGGGCAAAGCAACAGCTGTTGATCAGTTACTCAAACATTGCCAAACATGATTTAAATTGATTATTATTGACAACAATTATAAAACTGAGCTTTTCTAAAGTTGAAGCCTCATAAGTAATTTAGGAAGGGAGAGAGCCGGACAGCTCGGCCTTGACTGGCCAACTCTGCCTTGTTTAGACCTGAGCCTGGAGGAGTCCTCTTCCGATGGTACTACAACCCAGTGCAGAGTCCCAATCCTTGGACAGATCCCTCTGATCAGAAGTTTTTGTCATGACCCACCAGCCCTGCCTGTGTCCCTCTCTTCTCCCTCCTGTCTGCCTCTCTTACCCTCTTTGCCCACCGTCTCAGTCACTCCAGCCCTGCTCAGCTTGATTACAGGTATTGGAGGCAGCTGTGGGGATCAGCTCACCTGAGCCCAGTCATCCATCTCCTGCTATAGAAGTCCTGCTCATTCCACCACACCCTGTCAGACCATAGACCTTCAGCCCCTGTGTTCCTGCCACTGATCCCCAACCTGTTTCCAGCCCATACCTGCCCCCAGCCTCACTCCTGCTTTTCTCCAGTCCTCGCCAGATTCCCTGAGCCTGTCTGCCCCCCTTCAGTTTTGTCCCTTGTCCTGTGAGTATCCCCGTTGTGTTGGTTTAGTTAGCTTATTCACAGTAGTTTTCTCTTGTTTTTCCTTCTGCGTTAGTTTTAAGTTTTTCTTAGGTTTTTGTTTGGTTTCAGTATTGATTTCAGTTTTATTCTATAATTCAAATAAATTCCTTTGAACCTGTCACTTTCCTGTCTGCCTGTGTCTGTATCTGCACCTGGGTTCCCAGACCGCCCCGTAACAGTTTTCTTCATACAGGACATGAAAAGGGTTCTGCTACTCTTCAGTCAGTTTGCAGATGTGTCGAGACTTCTTCAATTGGCACATAGCCAGTGGAAGAATCTTAAGAACTCCAACAATGTTTTTGGTGAAAATAGGCATTTCAAGTTTAAACACTCAATTACCAGATTACAGCACTTCTTATTAGAGAGTCTTTCACATTGCTTAAGCTGGGCCAGTGTTCTTTTTTAGTGGCCAGGGTGTGGTGGACATGGGGCATTGTCTTGTTGGAAAATTCAGTCATTGGAGGCAGGAAAGAGTTTTCCAGCTGATGGAAGAAGACTGTTTTCAAGAGTAGCCTGTACATGACCTGTTTCATTTGCCCTGTTTGCCCAAACTGAAACCAGCCCAGATGGTCATTGATCCACCCCCATGTTTTACTGTAGGGGCAGGACAGTCTGGTCTGGAGGCTTCTCCAGGCTTCCTCCTAACCAGGAAGTTGGCTGGAGTGGGCATCAACTGAAAATTGGATTCATCACTGGAGACAACCTCAGCCAAACCATCAACAGTCCAATCCCTGTTATCCCAGCAAAGAGTAACCGGGCTTTCCTCTGGTTGATGAAGGGCTTCTTCCTTGCCCTGTGTGACTTCAGCTCAGCTTCAAGAAGTCGGTTTCCAACTGTTCTTGCTGAACAAGTCACATTTCTCAACAGTGCCCACTCATTTTAAGGTCCCTGGAGGTCTGACGATGATTCCTGACACAGAATGGACGAGTGCACGGTCATGTCGTGGGTAGAAAGACGTTTCCTGCTGTGACCAGCTAGCAGTGTGGTAGCACCATGGTTTTTCTTGGTGTAATGAACAGCTGTCTTGGAGATCTTCAGTGTTTTTGCTACCTGTCTCTCACTCATGCCAATTTGCAGCAGTGCCAAGATGGCTGCCTTTGTGACTTCACATAATTCTTTTGCTTTAGGCGTTATGTGAGAGCTGACAACTTCTGAGTCTGTTCTTCTGTCACACTGTGGACAGGAGGAATGAGTTCTTTGTTCACTGTCCTCATGTAAGCGTATAATAACTACAGCTCAAACCTGGTCACATTGACTGATGAACAAAGTAAAAAAGACACTAATTAGATGACTCATGCAACCACATGTGCTACTGGCAGTCAGTGCTTGTACTGACCAGTCATGCAGGAAATAAATTATGTAATAAATTCCTATTCTGAAAAATGTCAGTAACTCTGAGGTGTG